TTCTTACCTTTGAACCAATCTTACTGTAAGCTTTGATTAAATGGTCTCTGTAAAGCACCTTCAGATGACATGTGTCGTTAATTAGCGCTACATACATAAACTTAAATATTAAACTTTAATTAAGTTAATTAAATTATCTGCAATTAATTAATCCATTTAATAACATTTAATCGAAAAAATATTCACAACAAAACTTACCATTTCGTTTCACCAACACTTTTGATTTTTCATTTTTTAATGAATAAACATATGAGCGCAGCAACACAAATATTTTTTGCTTTAAATCCATTATTTAGGTTATTCAGCCTTCATATCGGTTGAAAGTTATAGTTCTTTAGCTACTATTGGAAGATTTTATTTAACCTCTTTGAAAGCAATCTTCTTTAGAAGAACAGTACATCAACATTATTCATAGAGCAATGCCTTCCACCGAATATGGTAAAAAGAAAAACTACATGGGAGAATTATCCTGCCATAATGCAAGAGCAAATAATTTCAATTTGAGAAAAGAATTTCATCTTCTTGCACTCAAAACTTATAATGCTCACACTCCAAACATGCGCTCTCTCTCACACTCAGTAGAGTTAAACAAGCGCACCCTTTCCGAGGCTGTCGTTCTATTGGCTGGAAAGGTTGCTAGGCGACGATCCGATCCAATCTGAGAGAGAGCAGAAAAAAATCCACAAGCAGAGCCTACAGGTTTGCGAGCGTATCTGAGACTCGAGCAGAGCGCGGTTTGTGCGCGAAGAGAAGGAGGCATGAGAGAGGAGAAAATATCTGTGCAAGAAGCATTAAATCTGAGAGAAGAAACAAAGATAAGAGAAGAGAAAATATTTGAGAGAGAGCGCATGTTTGGAGTGTGAGCATTATAAGTTTTGAGTGCAAGAAGATGAAATTCTTTTCTCAAATTGAAATTATTTGCTCTTGCATTATGGCAGGATAATTCTCCCATAAAACTATATAATCACAAGGCTTGCAATACTGACTTTAAGAGAATAAATTTTGCAGTAAAGAGAAATTAAAGTAGCCTTTTTGAAACCAACAACAGAACTGTGACAGTAGAGCTCTGCATAAAGCAGAGCTTAACATGTGCTATTTGACATACAACATTTATTGTAGTTAAACCATGTAAACCACTGAGGATTATTTTTCTCCTTAAGCCAGTAGAGGTTTACTTTTTTCAGATTGGTTCTTTCTATATTGGCTCCAACGCTTGTCATCTGGTTCTAGGTAGCAACCTGCAACCGCGGACTCTGACATTAGTGTTGTGAATGTCTGTGCTGCTGCATCATGAGTGTTATCGATTCATTCCTGGCTGCTGGTGACAATAAAGAAACTGAATATAACTAGTTTGGCTGTAAAGGTTCGAGTCCCAGCCTGGTGACCCTATCAATAATCCCATTTTATGTCTGCTCATATCAAAAGTAACAAAAATAAAGGCCACTAGTTCCTAAAAATAACCTCCCAAAAAAGCAAACTTCTGTATAATTCATTAATCAAAAGTCCAACAAGAAAACATGAATGAATAAAAGTGAAATACTGCGCCCATACCAGCCTAGCATAGCCAACACCTGGGTCCACTGATCACGCCCGACCAACCCCTAACTTTCACTGTGCAGGCATATGATTCCTCTCACCAACTCCCCAGAGAACCGCCACCAGCTTTATGTGCCCAAGAAACCCAAATCTAAGAAAATCATTGGAAGAGCTGGAGAGCCCTCCAAAGGCACCAAACAGCCCCTAGGGCTCAATACCCAACCCAGGCCCTGACCTAGTGCCCCGCTCCTCCTCTAACCTCCAACCCTGGAAGGCAAATTTAAAGCAGCTATGCAGAAAGACCCAGTGCATCTCCGCTTGCTTAAACATGGCGTATATGGATATTTCTATAAATATTTGGGATTCGGCAGCTGCAGACACAGCAACCTCCCACTGAACTGCAGTTTACCTGGAGCTTAACATTTGGAGGTTTGCACTGGCACCTGTAGGGGATTCAACCACTTATCCTTACCTCTGGTGACAGAGCTTCTGGTAGATTTTGCTTTCCTTATCCAAACATTCAATCACAGAGACCAAACATATTATTCGGGATCTGGGGGTATTTCTCCCACTTGGTCCCGGATGGATCTGCAAAAAGCTTGTAAGCTGCCAGGGTGATTATGCTTCACCTGGCCTGGGAGATGTATCTTCTGGGTAGAACAGAGGGGTTTGGTGCCCTGTCTCTTTTGAATGAGGTCTACACTGCAAAAAATGTAAATCTAAATAAGCAATTTTTCTTAAAACAAATGCATTATTTCTTGAATTGAGGAGGTAAATGAGAAGCTTTGCCAATGGAACGAGACAATTTACATTTGAAATAGGAAAAATCAAGTGCATATTATCTAATTACTCATTCCATTGGAAATCTATCTTATTTACCTGCTCAAATTAAGGGTAAATACACTTGATATAAGAAATTTTTACTTAATTTCAGATCGTTTTTGCAGTGTAAGTCACCTGTAGCTTGGTTGTTAACCTAACTCCATGTCTGGTGTATCACTAGTAGGAGTGGCTGACCAGTTCAGCGTCAAGAGTTACAATAAAATACAGCAACATTAAAAAAGCAGCACACCAACTAGTGTTAATAACAAAAATATCTAAAAATATTATCTGACTAATATGAGATTATCTTATTTCTTATCGGGAGTGAGGAGGACGTTCGGACACAGCCCATGACAAATCAGTCACATATCCACAATTTGTGCGGGAATGAGAGGTTTTATATGAGATAGCACTGCAATACAGAAAATTGCTCCTAACTGCATGTCCCGCCCACAAGGCAAAGCTTCAAATGATACAGGATCATTGAGTAGAAAATAGGTTTATGTGGAGATTTCAATTATATTAGGATGTGAATGATTTTATCTAAAAAAAAGGTTGAAAATTAACTTCCAAAGCTGCCAAAGATGCCATCTGTTGTTGGGCCATAAAGCATTATAATGATTTTGTTCACTGAGGACCAATGTCCATGTTTTATCTTAGCAATATTCAATGGGGTGGCGGGTGCAGGTTCGCCCCACAGCGGATGGTCTGGAACTCTTCTGCAACCCTCCCCCAGTGCACTCTGACAAAACACTTCTACAGGAAGGGGTGTGTGCCTTTATGTTTGAACATGATTTGAGCTCAATTCACAATTTAATTAGTTGTTCTAACACACAGCCAGCAGGGCTTCATAAACAATATAAGACAGTCTGGCTATTACTGTATGTGATGAAATAATATATTCACCACCCCTACTGGGCAAGGAATATCTAAAACTTGCCCAACACTGTCCCACATTTGTATGGAAGAGGATTAGGGACACTGAAAAAAAAAAAAAAAAGTTAACTGATTTATTTATTTATTTTTTCCAGTATAGTATGGGAAAAAAGTCAGAATTCTGAGAAAAAAGTCAGAATTCTGAGATTAAAGTCAGAATTCTACAACGGAGTATTAGGGCCACACATGAAGAGAAAAAATATTTTTGCCATGACGACTTTAAAGTCGACATGTCGACATTAAACTCGACATTTCGAGAATAAAGTTGAAATGTCATGTTGAGTTTAATGTCGACGTGTCGACTTTAAACTCGCCCTGTCGACTTTAAACTCGCCATTTCGAGAATAAAGTTGATATATCGTGGCGACTTTAATCTCGACATTCCAAAGTTTGGAGAAAAGAGCAACCGCGCTCCGCAGCTGCAGTCTGCGTTTTAAGAGTAACGGTAGTCTTTGACGTGCTGCAACTGTATAACTGTATAATCATCACAGAAAGTACAATTTGACCAAATCATCTATACAAGGCATGTCTGATTCTGGATTCTGTGCATGTATCCTGTGCAGCGGTTGGCTCTCTTGAACTAATTCCAACTTTATTGTCGACACTTCGAGATTAAACTCAACATGACATTTCAACTTTATTCTCGAAATGGCGAGTTTAAAGTCGACAGGGCGAGATTAATCTCGTCATGGCAAAAATATTTTTTCTCTTCATGTGTGGCCCTAATTCTCCGTCGTAGAATTCTGAGATTAAAGTCAGAATTCTGACTTTTTTCCATGTTAAACTTTTTTTTTTTTTTTTCAGTGGCCCTTATCCTCTTCTGTACATTTGGCTGTTATGTATTTAACTTCTAAAATATATTCTCTTTTCTCTACATTATGGACTTATGCAAACATGAGGCCAAACTGATTTGAATTTTCAAGAGAAGGAAACAAGGAATAAGAAAATTCTAGTCAAACAATGCGACTGAAAAGGTAGATAAATCTGGCATTATGTATACTTAAACTATGGTAAAAGAGAAGCAGAAAAGGGTGGGATCAAACTGAAAAAAAAAATAGTATTAAATTTATCTTTACTTGAACAGGAACAAAAAAAAAATGTACACCCTTTTATATAAGATAGCAGTAGCAAAGATGTGTGTCGTAACCTTTGGTCCTGCAGAGAGGAGTTTGTCCATTAAAAGTTTGGAACCAGCTAATTAAAACTAAACATATCAGGTGGAAAAAAACATTTCAAATAAAAAGCATTTAAAAAGGATCTATTGTGTTTCAGGCTATTTTAAAATAAAACTGTTTTTTATTTCCTTTATTCCATATCATAGATTTATTTAGACGTTTTGCTATTAAAATGATTTTATTAAACAAATCGCTTGAAGTCTTTTTGTAAATGACAATCTCTGGCATATAATTCAAAAATGAAAATAATAAATTGCAACTTCTGCTACAGAATAAGCAAATATTGTTAGCGCCCACACTCCTTACGGTTTGCTGTCCTGTATATTTTTCCCTGCTTTAAACATCTGATTGTAAATAATTACAGATAAACAAGCTTTGCCTAACTGAGAGATATAATATGCAGGGTACCTTGAGGAACAGATCATAAAACCTCAGATTTTTTTTAACACAGTAGTTCTTATATTTATATATGTGATTTTTTCTTATGCTGTTTCTTCAATAAAAGCATTAAGAACCCCGATAAGAACGTACCTTCCAGTTTTGCATACTCTGAAAGGCGCTGGTAGTTGACTATGGCAGCCTGTTCCAGACACTTCCTGATCACAGCTTTCACTTCTTCTTGTGGGACTGGTGTCACAACGTCTTTCATTAGAACCTGACCAAAAGCAACACATATGTAACACGTTTAAATCCTTTCAAACAAATTCATGCAAATGCTGTTGCAATAAAAACGTAATGGCATAGCAAAAAGTAGTTTATTCAAGTATACTAAAAGTACACTAATTTCATACTTAAAATCAGGCAGTGCACTTACAGTTTACTTATTCTAAACTATAATTCATATACTTAACAATAGTATAGCCAAGTGTACTTGACTATACTATTGTTTACTTTATTGTTTACTAAAGTATACTTTAAGTATACTTTAGTAAACTTAAAAATGTCCCAATTTAGTTTGAAGAAGTATTACTTTAGTAATACTTCAAGTGCACTAAAAGTGCACTGTTCAGTGTACTTTCTAAACTTATACTTAACTATTCTTAATAGAATTTACTTGAAGTATACTACTTTTTGCTAAATACATTTTCTCCCAATTATCTCAGTGGAATCTTGGACAAATTAACATTGATTGGTATTGAAAAATTCAAAGAAAAAAAAAAAAATATATATATATATACAGGTAAAAGCCAGTAAATTAGAATATTTTGAAAAACTTGATTTATTTCAGTAATTGCATTCAAAAGGTGTAACTTGTACATTATATTTATTCATTGCACACAGACTAATGCATTCAAATGTTTATTTCATTTAATTTTGATGATTTGAAGCGGCAACAAATGAAAATCCAAAATTCTGTGTGTCACAAAATTTGAATATTGTGTAAGGGTTAAATTTTGAAGACACCTGGTGCCACAAACTAATCAGCTGATTAACTCAAACACCTGCAAAGGGCTTTAAATGGTCTCTCAGTCCAGTTCTGAAGCCGACACAAACATGGGGAAGACTTCAGGTTTGACAGCTGTCCAAAAGGCGACCATCACCACATTGCACAAGGAGGGAAAGACACAAAAGGTTATTGCTGAAGAGGCTGGCTGTTCTCAGAGCTCTGTGTCCAAACACATTAATAGAGAGGCAAAGGGAAGGAAAAACTGTGGTCAGCGATAGGGATCACCGCGCCCTGGTCAAGATTGGGAAAAAAAAAACACTCAAAGATGTAGGGGAGATTCACAAGGAGGGGACAGCTGCTGGAGTCAGTGCTTCAAGATCCACCACCAAGAGACGCCTGAAAGACATGGGTTTCAACTGCCGCATACCTCGTGTCAAGCCACTGTTGACCAAGAAACAGCGCGAAAAGCGTCTCACCTGGGCTAAGGAAAGAAAGAGCTGGACTGCTGCTGAGTCCAAAGTCATGTTTTCTGACCAAAGCTAATTTAGCATTTCCTTTGGAGATCGAGGTCCCAGAGTCTGGAGGAAGACAGGAGAGGCACAGGATCCACGTTGCCTGAAGTCTAGTGGAAAGTTTCCACCATCAGTGATGGTTTGGGGTGCCATGTCATCTGCTGGTGTCGGTCCACTCTGTTTCCTGAGATCCAGGGTCAACGCAGCCGTCTACCAGCAAGTTTTAGAGCACTTCATGCTTCCTGCTGCTGACCTGCTCTATGGAGATGGAGATTTCAGGTTCCAACAGGACTTGGCGCCTGCACACAGCGCTAAATCTACCCGTGCCTGGTTTACGGACCATGGTGTTTCTGTTCTAAATTGGCCAGCCGACTCCCCTGACCTTAGCCCCATAGAAAATCTGTGGGCTATTGTGAAAAGGAAGATGCAGAATGCCAGACCCAAAAACGCAGAAGAGTTGAAGGCCACTATCAGAGCAACCTGGGCTCTCATAACACCTGAGCAGCGCCAGAAACTCATCCACTCCATGCCACGCCGCATTAATGCAGTCATTGAGGCAAAAGGAGCTCCAACCAAGTATTGAGGATTGTACATGCTCATATTTTTCATTTTCATTCTAAAAATCCCTTTTTTGTATTAGCCTTAAGTAATATTCTAATTTTGTGACACGTGGAATTTTGGATTTTCATTTGTTGCCGCTTCAAATCATCAAAATTAAATGAAATAAACATTTGAATGCATCAGTCTGTGTGCAATGAATAAATATAATGTACAAGTTACACCTTTTGAATGCAGTTACTGAAATAAATCAAGTGTTTCAAAATATTCTAATTTACTGGCTTTTACCTGTATATGAACTTCCATCGAGATCAAGATATCTATCAGTTCAATTCAATTCAAATTCACGTATTAATTATATAAATAGACATATACAATGAGCTGCTCTCTAATCTAAAAAATTTTTTTCCCTCTTAATTAAAATCTAAACATGTTGCATTTATTCGCACTATTCTTCTTTATCAATGGTAAGTTTTACAAATTAAAATTCTCTTTTTAATTCTTAGAGAGGAAAATCCAAAAATCCTGCAATATCATCTTGCAGTAAAGCCAAGACACATTCAGGAGAACAGCTCAATGCCTGGAGCGGTGAGCGTTCACACTGTCTGACCAGTTCAACGTTTGGACGCTTTTTGGGCCCTAAAATGCATTCGGTGTGAATGCAGAATAAGGCCTACCTACATGTGATGTTTTAATGTCTGTGCCATTCCTAAACACCAGTACGGAGAATCCATACTGAGGTGTAATGGCAGGCAAATCTTATGTGTTGTATAAACCATCATGCAAAAAAATTGTTGGGATCTGGAGGTCAGAGGGCGTACTAGATCTCCTGGAGCCGGAGCTGATTGCTACCACCTGTCGCTCATCTGCTCATCAGGAGATCCGTATTTAAGGAGGCAGAGGACGTGTCTCCAGTGCCAGAGTGTTTGCCAGTTATGGTTAGCAAGCCTGAGCCAACCTGCCTGTCTGAGGCCCCGTCCACACGAAGTCAAAACGAACGCGAAACGCTAATATTTTCCAGAACGTTTGTCGTAAAGACGGAGACGTAAAATAAATGTGATCGTCCACACGAATGCATGAAAACGCTGCAAAATGTATGCCAGGCCTGTAAGTGGCGCTGTGGTGCCAAAGCAAAAATAGGCGACGAAATGTTGGGCATGCGCACTAATATTTATACATGGTTGCCCTGCGGGTCCATTTTGGTGGTTCAGTCAAGTTCAGGTGCTGAACTATGTGGTCGATATTGCTCTGTTCTTCCTGGAGATATTCCAGAAGAAGAAGATTCTGTTGTAAGCCCGACAGCAGGGTGAGTAGCATGAGCAGCAACCATTCAACACAGTACGGCGCCATTGTTGTTGTGATACTGTGTCGTGCATGACGTGACGCTATGACGCATGCGTGTAAGAAAAAAAATGCGGTCAGAGCTTAAAGATGGAAACGCGAAAACGGCGTTTCAAAATCTTCCCACTCTGAAGGCTTAATAAAAAAAAGATCGTTTACAGACCCCCGAAACGCCGGCTTTGTATGGATGAGAGGCTGGTTTGGTGAAACATTTGTGCGTTTAGGCCAGGGTTTGACTTCGTGTGGACGGGGCCTAAATCTCTGACTCCCTGAAATCCTGAACCTGATCTGATTTCTCCTTTCTGCTTCCCAGGTTTAACCTGCCTGGAAACCAGAAACCCTGAAGAGTTTCTCTGTTGGAAATCTGCCTGCCCGCTCTCTGAAGAATCTGGAAGGGAAACTCTAATCTGTGATCTGCAAACACTCAAACCTAAGCTCTGCCTCCGCCAAGCCCTCAGCCTGCCGTCAGCCTCTGGACCCTCAAGGTTTCCCCCCTCAGCCGCTCTGCTCAGACTCCAGAACAGGTACTGTCCTGCTCACTCACATCCTGCAAGTTACCTGGACATCCACTAACTCCTCTGTCCCCCTCTGCAGTGAACCCACTCATGACCTGTCCTGGATCTGTTTATTCTTTGTGCAGAATAATTTCAATAAAGCTTTGAACTTTTCTCCTGCTTCAGTGTGTTCTGCATGTGGGTTAGGAACCTTAAGCCAAACATGACAAAAATAGAGATTTTATGCCACTCCGCTGTGTGAATATCATCTTAATCTGGACATTAAGGCAGGCTTAGACTGTACTTTTTTTTTTTTTTTTTTGCCCTTTTCAGGCCAATTCTCCTATCGTGCAAGAATTTTTTGGATTGGGCTGACTTTCAGCCTCATCGTCCGTCCTGCGTCGTGTAGTATACTGGGACTAACGAGTGGCGATTAGCCTCTCACGTCCTCCTCTCGATCAGGAAGCGTAAGGTCGGGAGAAAATAAATTCAGTTGGCCCACGCCAATTCACAACATGTCATATCAATGCACCTTACAGTCTCCAGATCATCCAATCAAATTGATTCAAAGTTTTCTATCTAAGGAAAATCAGCTGATTGCATCGACTCATTGACTCTTCAGCAATCCCTCACTCTAAGCATGCTTGTAGCGACAGTGGAGAGGAAAAACTCCCGTTTAATAGGTAGAAACCTCCAGCAGAACCAGGCTCAGTGTATAAATTATAAGTGTAAATAAGATATAAGAATAAAGTAAGATAAGCGTAAGAGTGAAATAATTCCTAAATAATAAGTAAAAGTAAGTCTTTGAACAGGTTTCTGAAGCCAGGTGGTGCGTTAGACCAGCGGTTTATCTCCGGTTTTCAAAATGCATAACAAACTGCTTGAGAAAGCTTTTCTACTATGATAACTGGTGATGAAAATAAATAATATTCAATAAGATATATTTGTGTTTAATAAGTTTTTATTCAAATAAACATGATTTCTGAAATGTAGGCCTACATAATAGGTCATAATGAACCGTTTACAGTCAGTAGCTTTGTGTCAGTCAGTCTAAGCTCTATTTCTCTTTTTCCCATCAGTCACTCAGGCAGTCATTGTAATGTCCTGTAAGGCTGCATTAGCCGCAAGGGCTGCTGGGTAATATCAAGATGGTGAAAACATTGCCACTTTATCCTAGTTTTTGTGTTAGAGGGTTGTTCATGTTGGTAGTATGTTCATGCTAAGCTAACAATATCTTCTGAAGGTTGCATTTGTAACTGTTATCATTGACACCTTCAGAAGTATGTTTCACTAAACAAAATACCCTCAGAAATAGATATTTATAAGAAAAAACTACATAACATTTCAAGAAGCCCATAATAAGGACAGTTATGAAAGAAATATCACTGTAATGTGGCAAAACTATACAATCCTGAGAGAAGATTCTTATCAGAACATTGGTGTCAAAGGATCATGCTCTACAGGTCTTTATGACATAAGGACACATGTCATAAGAAGCTGTTTAACATATATATATTATATATATAAGTATAACATACCCTTTCAAGCAAGGACAGAGTAGCTTTTAGCGCTCCCTCTGGTCGTCCAAATGGAAAGCAATATCTAATAAAGAAGAATGAATTGTTTGGAGGTTTCGTTAGAATAACTTGCCAAACAAATTGAAAAATTGTTTTTGTGACTCATATCTACCTGAAATGAGTTATCTGATTCTCCAGAAGCACACGTAGTCTCTCTTTGATTTCTTCAAAACGCTCCTTTTCCTCCACAGTCACTGTGCCAATCCCATCAGGCCTGAAAGACAATTGCAAACAGACAGAGGCTTTGTACTGGACGTGGAAATGAGTTGGACACAGAGAATAGCTAAAGCATTACTGATAGAATATCAGCTGCCTGATTCTGCTCTAAATAGTTCTGCACAATTTGGAGGTGTGTTTAGGGTCATTGTCCTGTTGTAGGATGAAATTGGCTCCAATCAAGCGCTGTCCACTGGGTATGGCATGGCGTTGCAAAATGGAGTGATAGCCTTCCTTATTCAGAATCCCTTTTAACCTGTACAAATCTCCCACCTTACCAGCACCAAAGCAACCCCAGACCATCACATTACCTCCACCATGCTTAACAGATGGCGTCAGGCATTCTTCCAGCATCTTTTCATTTGTTCTGCGTCTCACAAACGTTCTTCTTTGTGATCCAAACACCTCAAACTTGGGTTCATCCGTCCACAACACTTTTTTCCAGTCTTCCTCTGTCCAATGTCTGTGTTCTTTTGCACATCTTAATCTTTTTCTTTTATTGGCCAGTCTCAGATATGGCTTTTTCTTTGCCACTCTGCCCTGAAGCCCAGAATCCCGCAGCCGCCTCTTCACTGTAGATGTTGACACTGATGTTTTGCGGGTACTATTTAATGAAGATGCCAGTTGGGGACCTGTGAGGCGTCTGTTTCTCAAACTAGAGACTCTAATGTACTTATCTTCTTGCTAAGTTGTGCAACGCGGCCTCCCACTTCTTTTTCTACTCTGCTTAGAGCCTGTTTGTGCTGTCCTCTGAAGGGAGTAGTACACACCGTTGTAGGAAATCTTCAATTTCTTTGCAATTTCTCGCATGGAATAGCCTTCATTTCTAAGAACAAGAATAGACTGTAGAGTTTCAGATGAAAGTTCTCTTTTTCTGGCCATTTTGAGCGTTTAATTGACCTCATCAATGTGATGCTCCAGAAACTCAATCTGCAAAAAAGGAAGGTCAGTTTTGTAGCTTCTGTAACGAGCTAAACTGTTTTCAGATGTGTGAACATGATTGCACAAGGGTTTTCTAATCATCAATTAGCCTTCTGAGTCAATGAGCAAACACATTGTACCATTAGAACACTGGAGTGATAGTTGCTGGAAATGGGCCTCTATACATCTATGTAGATATTGCACCAAAAACCAGACATTTGCAGCTAGAATAGACATTTACCACATTAGCAATGGACAGAGTGTATTTCTTTAAAGTTAAGACTAGTTTAAAGTTATCTTCATTGAAAAGTACAGAGCTTTTCCTTAAAAAACCTTTTGAACGGTAGTGTATGTTTACTCCCGTAAACACAGGGCACGCTCGCTAGGGACTTAATTCTGCTCTGTTGCGCATGCGGGACCCTTACGTTTTGTGAATGCAACTTACACAGGAGATCACATACAAGACGCATATATTTGGAAATGTGAGCAACCATAAAAAACAATTGCATTTTACAAAAAAATTGGAACTGAGCATTAAGGCCGACGATGTGAATGCAGCCTTAAAAATCTTCCACTACTGTTGGTGGCAGCTGGAAGTAGATGATTGTTTTTTTCAGGTATGTCAGACAAACTGTAGGAAACAAAATAATAAAAGCGAACATTTTGCATGAGTGTTCAACATTTTTAGTTCAGTTAGGCAGTAATGAACTGTTTCAGGTGAGCGATGATAGCATTCACTTTTCTTTATACATAAGCAAAACATTTTTCTTGCCTTTTCTGTAAACCTAGAAGTTTTACCCCGTTTATATATTTTTGTTCATTGTTGACGGCTTATTCCTGACCTCAGATCAGCTTCTTTGATTGATTAATGTGGCGAGTCAAGCAGCAAGAGTCCAAATTTTTCAACAACAGCACTGTCTGATTGTGAAACATGTCACGCGCCTCGGATGCTAACGCTCATGAGGCGCTGCTCAGATGCACTGAAGGACCTATTGATGCACCTTGACACACTTCAACCATAGACCTTGCATATAAACCGGCTGCTTATGCTGCTCAAGAGCGTTTGTTGGGAACATAGCATTACATTTTGGATACTACATATTTATGCAGGTAAAATGTAACAATACAAGTGCCAAATAAAATAGATCATGAACCATTAACAAAAAAAGCAGTAACTTTTAACAGCATATTGCAAACAGGACACATTTCTAACAAGTCAAAGAATAAGGATAACCTCAGCAAATGGAAAACAGCTGAATTGATTCATTTTCACTGAACTTTTTTTCCAAGTTTGAAGACGTTTCGCTTTCCATCCAGGAAAGCTTTTTCAATTCAAAACGTCAGGAATAGCGTTGAGTTTGAGGCTATATACAGTAACCTTCAATATATATATATAATAAAAAAAAATATAAAAAAAAAAATAAAATATATATATATATATATATATTTTAGGGATGCACGATATTGGGATTTGGCCGATATCCGATATGCTGATATTTTAAATCTCATGTAGCTGATAACCGATATCGATACCGATGTCAAAGCTGGACAAAAATAAGTAGTCATTGAAAATAGCAGTTTTGTTATCCATTTCTGACACTTTGAAAAATAATATACTCAAATATATTTTCATATGCTGATATCAAATAGATTTTTAAAAACGCGGTATCGATCTATTTTACTTTCAAAATCTGGTGAAATTTCATCGTTCTGTTACAAACTCTCGTGATATTTTGCAATTTCTTGTGAGATTTTGTTAGTAAAAGAGATCGATACCGCGTCAATATATCAACATATAAAAATATGGCAACATTTGGTGAATTTTCGGGGGATTTCGTAGCATAACGATGACATATAGCAATATTTCAGTAGTAAAAGAGATTGATATGGTGTTTTTAAATGGCAATTTATCAGCATATGAAGATATTGGGATATTTTAATGGATCAATATTTTTTCCCTCGTCTTTAGAAGTTTTTAAGTCTGTAAAAAAAAAGTTTTTGAGGAAGAAGAAGAAGAAGTAGTATTTTATTTTTTTTAGACTTTAGAAACTCAGAAGCTGATCAAATATCGGGTTAAATATCGGTGGGGTGGCCGATGTCCGATATTCAGTTTTAAGGCTGATACCGATAGGGGGCCCATTATATCGTGCATCCCTAATATATATATATATATATATATATATATATATATATATATAGAGAGAGAGAGAGAGAGAGAGAGAGAGAGAGGGAGAGAGACGGGGCCGCCTGTGGAGCTGGTTGACAGTTGCCTTTTGTATCTATGCTTCTTTTTCTATGTCTGCTTCTGTCTCCTTGAACCCCAGTGGGCCTCAGCAGATGGCCGCTCACACTGAGCCTGGTTCTGCTGGAGGTTTCTTCATGTTAAAAGGGAGTTTTGGGAGTTCTGGTTGAACTGTAAAGCTCCTTGAGCCTTGAACACAACGCTGTTCCTGACAGTTTGAATTGAAAAGTTTCCTGGATGGGAAGCAAAACGTCTTCAAAATTGGAAAACAAGTCCAGTGGATTTTTTGTTTTACCTTTGTGGGATGACTATGACCTGGATGACTGGGAATCCTTTATCAGCATATTGGGGAGGGAGTTCTGGACACAGTTACTCAGTACAGCTGCTTTGACAAAATAAAAAAAATCTAAATCATAACATAAACCTGTATTTATAAAACTGAGTAACCCCCTTTTAAATGTATTTAAACTTGATGAATTGGGAAAAAATGCTTAAAAATACGATAGTCAGACTGACTGAATTAGTTTTATTTGTTTCCATCCAAACATCTGAGCTGCTTTGATGAGCTCTGATAGCGTAGTGTGAAAAACAGCTGATCCCAGGCTGTTCTCTACATCGAGTCTGTTCCTCTGCTTGGTTTTGATGTGTATCACACCTGGTGAACAGGTGAACCCAAGGAAAAACTTAGATTTGGTTTTTAAAAGCTTATTTAATTTTTCAACTGGGTCCTAACAAAGCGGAGCAGATCCCAGCCCAATTTTATTTTTACTTTACCTAAGAAAATATTTTCATGTACCCCTTGCAATACCCTCATTGACCACTAGGAGTACGAGTACTGCTAGTTGGGAAACACTGATTTCATTTCATGTTGTCTTGTACCCCCATTTTCAAATCCTAAATCCGCCCTGCGGTCTATTTTAAAGTTGCTGACTCATAGACCATACTAGCTTACTGCGTCCGAATGTCCGCCTGATCCCTAAATCCCTCCAGCACTATATAGAGCAGGGACTTTATAGTGCGCTTAGATAACTGAGCATTCGGCTAGATAACCGCTGCTTTTTACTCCGTTTGTCATGTAACTCCTCCTTCACTGCGCAGTACCTGCACCATCTTTGTCATTAGTTGCCAGTATCGGGTGGCGACAGCCAGGGGGGATTTACCATTAGGCAATACTAGGCAGTCGCCGAGGGCCCCAAGTTAAAAAACTCTGTTTACATATGGTTCATACAACTATTCCATATTTGTGCACATTAATTATGTTTTTGATAAAATCCTTTTCACTAAATGCCATCAGAACATTTATAATATTAAGTGTGTCTCAGCCCCCCCCCTTCAGTGTCCTCCATATTGGATCAGTCCATTTGCTGCACATGTTCAGAAAGGTCCAAACAGACAGCAGCAAACCATTTGAAAACAAACCATGCAAAGAGCAGTGTTGCCAACTTAGCGCTTTAGTCGCTATATTTAGCCACTTTTCAGACCCCTCTAGCACTTTGATTTCTAAAAAGCTCCTAGCGCCAAATCTAGAGACTTTTTTCTGCTACTGGAGACTTTGGAGACAACATCTAAAAGCAGCGAACTCTGCTCTCCAGAGCGAGTAGATTGGTAACCCCGCCTCCTGCTCTCCTCTATCTTGTCTGCTGTCATGATTCATGCAGCTATTATTTCATCCAAATGAAAAATGGAGAACAGATAAGCAGATCATGACTTGTCTACAGTGAAAAGAAGGACTGGGTTATTTACTTTGGCCTTTTTGGAAACACAGGAAGGAGCAATCAGCTAAGTGAGCTTAGTGCTTGGAAAAAATCTTTCATTCCTTTAGAGACAGCATGAAA